ATATTTTCCCTTATTGCAATTTGAATTTTAGTCATAGTTACAAACTCACTTCCTAATCCCATATTGCACATCAGGGGCTGGAAACTTTTTCTGTAGGTGGTCAGATAACCAATATTTTCAGCTTTGTGGGCCATGAGGTCTCTGTTGTGATTATTCTCTGTCGTTGTAGCTCAAAAGCAGTCATAGACAGTTTGTAAATGACTAGACATGGCTGCGTTCCAGGACTGTCAGGGGCAGATGTCCTATTAGAAAATGTCCTAAAAGAAAAGGTTTCATTTTTCATTCATTTCTATTATTTCAAACAAACAAACAAAAAGAAGGAAATGAAATAATGTTATTGTTTTTATATTGTTTTATATACTTTTTAGTGTTTTCCATTTTAAAAGTCAAATCAGCCATAGTATTTATACTTATTCAAGGAAAACAACACTTAAATTCAGACTCAGCTTAGAATAGTAATCCATTTGTTTCAGTAATTATTTTATAAATGAGTTTATTTTCTCTTTAGCTGTAGGAATCACAGATTAGATGCCATTTCTGCTTTTGGTATTTCAGAGGCAGGATGGCATGGTGGTTACAAGGACAGACATTGGAGCCAGAAACCCAGCCTCCAACTTGCTCAGTGACTCAGTGACCACAGACAAACTAAATAACATCTCTATGCCTCTGTTTTCTCATCTATAAAAATTGAATCATAATAGCATGTCAACAGATTGTCATAAACATGAGATGAATTAGAACAGTGCCTGAGAAAGAGCAGTAGCTCTGAATGAATGACTGCTGTGATCCTCAAAGGCTCCCAGCAGAATCCTGGGGCAAAGGATTCTGATATGAATGTCCACCTAGTTGTGCGATCATCTAATGCTCCCTAGGAGGATCTGAGGCCTGTGTGAAAGGAACTGTGATGGTCAGGCTGTGACACGGTCCCTCAGCACACAATCTCCTCTTCCTGGAGGAGAGGGCAAGTACTTCATCCCACATCCACTCTAAAATGTGTGGAACAAATAAATGCTGAACCTCTTAAGGATGGCCCGGCAAATTTGAAGAAGCATGGGGTTTAGGACTTAAAAGTAATTTTATTTCCCTAAACTTCAAATTTTTAAAAGTACAGTGGGGAAAAAAATGATCATTATACTGTAAAAGTATTGTGATGATTACATAAGATGTAATACCACCAGCATGTTTTCTGGTACTAGATGATTTCCATTTTGAGTCTGAGCCATATGATTTATGGGTAATCTCTGTAAAGTAAAAAAAAAAAAAAGTACACGATTCAAGATCTGTAGGGAGGGAGGCTCAGGCTGGCTGCCCAGCTGTGCAGCTTCTGTGGATGCCCATATTAAGAAGGATGTGGGTAGGCACAGACCCAAAGATGGTTCTCATATAAGAGAACTCTAACGTTGTGGGTATTAGTCCAGCAGGCACAGTAGTACACAGCCTCATCATTTTCCTCTAAGAAATTTATTTTCAAGGTTGAAGTGGAAGTGCGAGAATCTTTACTTGCCACAAGTTTGTTTTTCTTCCCACCTAAGTGACCTTGAATAGGGGTTGTTGAAGGAACATATTTTAGATATTCTAAACCTTGATCTGGTTTGTACCGGTACCAGTGTATGGATTTTTCAATAAAGTCTTGTGTGTACACCTTACAAGATATGTGGACACTCTTATCTCTTGCTCCGGAAATTAATATTTCAGGTTGCTCCAACTTTAACTGCCCAAGGCCAACTGCAAGCAAAAAAACAAATTCTTATGAACAAATGAAATGTAAAGAGGTAACAATAAAGAATTTCTTTAGTTTCTCTTGTAGACTGAAATAATTGGGGGCTACTCACAAGCCCAGAAAGAAGAAAAGATGATTGCTTCCAGTAGTGGCATCCTATACACAAGTCCAACTCCCCAGGGGGAAGGTAAGAAAGTGAGGTCCTTGTTAGCAGCAGTTCTCAGACCAGTGGCAGGAGGGCTGGCTGGTTCTGGTTTCGCAGAAGAAGTGGTAGCTCAGATAGTTCCCTAGGGTTCTTCATGATCTGCTACTGATGTGAGCAGTTCTGGAGCTTCCTGTGTCCCATGAGTGCTGAGAAAATCAGGTAGGAGGGTTTGCGATCTGGAAAGAAAATCCTGGAATAACTGTGTCTGTCTGGGGATGGGGCAGGGAGAGACAGTTCTCATACTTACTCAGCCATTCCTCCTGAATTCCATGCTGTAGAAACATTGCTTCAGATATATGAAGACATATCTGCTGTAGTCAGCCCCTGTGTCTATCTTTCTGTGATTTGCTGTTGATTCAGGACTTATGTATAAAATCTGACCTTTATTTTTCTGTAACACAACACAAACATCACATTGAAATACCTCATTGACATTATTTAATATGTCATATGCACAAGCACTAGAGAATTTTTGTGTTTTTAAAAAATTATTCGAGATGTCACCACACAGATTATGACTCAGAGCAATTAAATTTCATTTCTTATCTGTATGCCACCAAGAAGGGACTAGACTGCTATTGCTGGCAGATACAGGAGACAAAGCAATCTGTGGAAATCAACTTCCTCTCATTTTGGACCTTGGACCTGTTTCATTAACACTGTGTATGTCACATGCAGGAGTATTTCAAAGCAATATTATGTTTAATATGTAATAATAAGCTTTAAAATTATTACAGCATCTAATATCCACCGAAAACTTGCTATTTGTCAGGCATTGTTCTAAATGTTTACTTATTTTATTTAATTCTCTCAACAGTCCTGTGAGGTAGCTGTTATGATAATCTTCATTTGTCAATGAGGACAATGGCAAACAAAAGCGATTCATCCAAAGACACAGAGCTGGGAAATATGAGAACTCAGATAAATAACAGTGCTTTTGAAGAAAATTTGTGTAAAATAAAGTATAAAAAGCAACAGTGACAACCATCATTTACTTTTACTTTGAATTTTTTAAAATTAAATTTATCTGGGTGACATTGGTTAATAAAAGTATGCAAGTTTCAAGTGTACAATTCAATAACAGTGGCTCTCCCTCTTGCCTTTGTTGCTGACATTTAGATTTTCTGCATATGAAAAAATTTTAAATCAGTCTCTTACTTTTCATTCCTATTTGCTATGAGTTTAATCTTTCTTTCCCTCTTGCTCAAACATTCCATTAACCTGCTAACCAGTTCTCCACAGCTTTTGACTATATACCATTGCCATATTAAATTATTTTTCTCATTTATTATTTATTTTTTATGAAATTTATCAGGGTGACAGTGGTCAATAAAGTTATATAGGTTAAGTGTACAATTCAATAACATGTTATATGTATATTGTGCATTGTATTTACCACCCAAAGTTAAATTTCCTTTCATCACCATATATTTGACCCCCTTTACCCTTATCTACCTCCCCGCTACCTCCTTTCTCTCTGGTAACCACTAAACTGTTGTCTGTGTCTATGAGTTTTTGTTTGTTCGTCTTGTTCATTTGTTGCTTTCAGTTTTCTGTCCCACATAAATCATATGGCCATGCACAATGTAGGTCAGGATGTAAGTCAAAGAAATATGAGCTCGCCACTGGTGATAGAAGAGAGAGTGATGGATCATTCATTTAATTCCATCTCATGGGTCTGCCTGGCCTGCAAAACTCTCTTTTTTCCTTCTAATACATCTCAAAATTAAACAATAATCTGTTGATCCTTGAAATAGGGGCTAGAGAGAATGGATATGTTGATGTTATTTGGAAATTTTTAATTAAAATGAACAGTACACATAAGAAACTTGCAAGGAGATATCCAAATTCTTACAAGAAACTCCCTGCAAATACTACTATTAGAAAATAAGGATCTTTTTATTGTTTTGTATTGAAAGTTAATTGACAATTTATTGGTATTTATTTATTTATTTATTCTGTGAAGACACCTAATCATTCAAAGCCTGGGCACATGCTTCAGCATACAATAATAATTTGTATCAGTTAATTTTCCATAATTATTCTGTTTCCTCTATGGGTAGGAACAATGTATTCTTCCTTTTATTGTCTTGCAATTAGGAAGTGTAGTGTAACAGTCAAGAGGAGCCAGATTATCTGGGCCCCTACATGCTCTGCCAACTAGCCACATACCAGCTGTGTGACTTGGACGAGTGACTGAACCACTTAGTAATTCACCTATTCCATGAGTCAAATATGCTTGATAACAAAACAAACTTTATAGGAGGTGTGGGTTAAAAGAGCTAAGATTTAAAGAATTGAGAACACTAATAGAGAACTTAAACACACACACACTGTTAGTTCTGCTGATCTTGGCAGGTTCTCTCTCTTCTTTCACAGGCAGAATCAAGGGTTACCCAACATGGTGGGCTCATCTAATGGTCTCAGTGAATTTGGAGCTCTGTTCTGATGACATCATGCTGGCAGAAACATTTCCCCACACTCCTCAGAAGAACAATATTGCTTCATTCTTAATTTACCCCAGATACCCTAGTGTTTACTTAAATAATTACAATCCTAAACTTTTTCAGGGTGATCTTACAGTCCAGGTGAAAAGCATGAACTTCTTGCCTTTGGCTGATTATTAAACCTAAATTCTCTAAGCTTAATTTTCTTAGATGTAGAACAGAACAATAATAATTACATTGCCAAGGGGTTATCTTGAGTATACACAATAATAATGGTTCCAGCAATTCTCTCTCAGCCTGAAGTCTTGACCAATTACTGAAAGTCTCTGGATTATAAGATGATGTACAGTGGCATATCCTGTGTATTCTCAGTCCTCAGAAAAGACCAGTTCATTGGGATATAGTATCAAATAAAGCTTGGAAGCACAATTCCTGGGATCAGCTAGAAGCTAATGTGCAAATATAATCCAATATGGCTTCCTGGAAACCTCAGGAAATGCTGCCGACAAGCTGAGGCTGAGGCCAGGAGCCCAGCCAGGAGGCTGGTTGTGGTTGCCACTCTTGAGAAGGATGTGGGTGGGCACAAATCCAAAGAGGGGATCTTGTGTGTATTGCCTTAACAGTTCTAGCACTGTGGGACCACCCAGCACAGTAGTAAATGGCCGCATCTTCTTTTTCTATGAAATTTATGGTAAGGATTGAAGTGAGAATTTGAGAATTCTTTCTTGCCTCAACTTTATTGTTCTTCCCACCTTTGCGACTTAGAGCTGGAGTTTGTGTTGAGCTCACGTGAATCAGATACTCCAAAGCCTGATTAGGTTTCTGCCAGTACCAGAAAATGACATCCTTTTCAAAACTTGTGCTCGATATCTTGCAATGTATGTCAACACTTTTCTTTACTTCTGTGGAAATGGATATCCGGGACTGCTCCACTTTTGATAACCCAAGTACAACTGCATGCAAAAGAAGAGAATTTGCGGTGAACTTGTGATAATATAAGAAATATTAAAGAATTTCTTTGCTCACTCATCTAGACTGACATGGTCAGGGAATGTGACTCACGAGGCCAGAAGGACATGAAGGTGAATGCTTCCAGCAGCGACATTCTGTGGACAGGCTGTATCCTCAAAGAGAAGGCAGGGAAGCAGAGAACTGGTGGCAGGACACCTCAAGTCAGTGGCAGGTGGGTGTGGCCTAAATTGGGGAGAGGGAAGGAAGTGGTGGATCAAGGCAGGATCTTAAGCCTTTAGTACTGGCTGCTAGCCTAAGGTCTTTTCCGTGGGTCTCATGCTTGCCCTCTGGATCTCAAGATAGGGATGGTAGTCTCTGTAGGGCTCTTTGGCATAAATGTGAGGGGGCTATGGCTGTACCTTGGGACGAACTGATATAAGTCCTCATTGAAGAAACTCAGAAATACAGGGTAAAGATGAAAAGAAAAATGCCCATATTCATATTATCAAGACCAATAAATATTATCTTTGTAGTGTGTTAACTTCTATATTTCTTCTTTGCATATATATGAATGTCAATATGATTTTGAGTACCACAAATATATTTTAAGTTACATGTGGAATATGTACAGAGTTTTGTATTCTTTTTTTAGTTTACTTTATATTCTGAGCAACTTCCCTTGTTGTTGAAGCATTTTTAATGTCTGCATTTATATGCTGTTCATTTTTATCACTTAGAAGCTGCCTGACTCTGAAAATCTCTATCTCTTTGTACCCCAGATTCCACACCTGAAAATAGATGCAGTGATACTAACTACCTGAAAAGGCTATGCAAATTAAATAATTAAAAGTACCTAGTACAATCTCCAGGATGTAGTAAAATTTCAGTAATTGTTAGATATTATTATTAATACCACTATCATTTTTTAAAAATTAACTTCCCTAAGCTGTATACCATTTCACTTTCCTCTCAACTTTCATTATTAGAATGCTTTGGTGGCCGTTTTGAATAGTAACCTGGGAAATCAGTCAACATTATTAGTATTTCATTTTTCCACACTTAGAGAACTTTGATTCATCTTTCCTGTCTTTCCTTTTTTTATAGAAAATATTTTATTTGTTTGTTTGTTTGTTTGTTTTATATTTGACCCCCTTTACCTTGTGTACTTCCCCTCCCCGCCCCCCAAACTCTACCTTTTGGTAACCACTAGTCCATTATTCATGTCCATGAGTCTCTGTTTATTTGTCCTGTTCATTTGTTGCTTTTAAGTTTATATCCCACATATAAATGATATCATGTGATTTTCAACTTTTTCTATCTAGCTTACTTCATTTAGCATGATTATCTCGAAGTCCATCCATGTTGTCGCAAATGGCAGTATTTCATCTCTTCTTATGGCTGAGTAATATTCCATTGTATATGTGGACCACCACTTCTTTATCCAATCATCTATTGTAGGACACTTCGGTGGCTTCCATGTCCTGGTCACTGTGAATAATGCTGCTGTGAACATCAATCTGCAAATATCTTTTTGGATATGGGTTTTCAAGACTTTGGGGTAAATACCCAGTAGAGAGATTGCTGGATCATATGATAGATCAATTCTTAGATTTTTTTTGGGAAACTCCATACTGCTTTCTATAGTGTATGTACCAATTTGCATTCCTACCAGCAGTGCATGAGGGTTCCTTTTTCTCCACATCCTCTCCAACATTTGTTTATTACTTGTTCTGTTGATTATAGCTATTCTAACAGGTGTGAGATGGTATCTCATTGTGGTTTTGATTTTCCTAATAACTAGCAATGCTGAGCATCTTTTAAAATATTTGTTGGCCATTTGTATGTCATCTATGGAGAAGTGTCTGTTCAGATCCTCTGCCCATCTTTTGATTGGATTATTTGTTTTTTTGTTGTTATTGAGTTGTATGAGTTCTTTCTATATTTTGGATATTAGGCCCTTACCGGAGGCATTGATTACAAATATATTTTCCCATTTGGATGGTTGTCTCTTTACCTTGTTATTGATTTATTTTGCTGAGGATTTATTTTGCTTTTTAGTTTGATGCAATTCCATTTTTTTATTTTAGCTTTTACTACCCTTGCCTTCGATGTCAAATTCATAAAATTCTCTTTAAGTCCGAGGTCTTTTAGTTTTCTACGTTTTCTTCTATTCATTGTATTGTTTCAGGTCTTATATTCAGGTCTTTAATCCATTTTAAGTTAATTTTGGTGAGTGATGATAGACAACAGCCTAGTTTCATTCTTTTGCAGGTGGCCTTCCAATTTTCCCAGCAACATTTATTGAAGAGGCATTTCTTTCTCCATTGTATGTTTTTGGCTTTTTTGTCAAAAATTATTTCCCCATATAAATATGGCTTTACTTCGGGACTCTCGATTCTATTCCACTGATCCACGTGTCTGTTTTCCTGCCAATACCATGTCGTTTTGATTACTGTCACTTTGTAGTATAATTTGAAGTTGGGTAGAATGATACCTCCAGCCTTGTTCTTTTTTCTCAGGATGGCTTTGGCGATTCAGGATCTTCTTTGCTTCCATACAAATCTGATGTTTTTTCTTCCATTTCTTTAAAAAATGCCAATAGGATTTTGATGGAATTACATTATATCTGTATAAAACTTTAGGTAATAAAGTCATTTTAAATACGTTGATTCTTCCAACCCAAACACATGAAATATCTATTCATTTCTTTGTATCTTCTTTGATTTCTTTTAATAGGGTATTGTAGTTTTCATTATATAGGTACTTCACATGTTTTGTTAAATTTATTCTTTTTAAATTTTATTAAATTTATTCTATTTTATTCTTTTTGCTGCAATGGCAAAATAAATTATTTTTTTCACTTATTTTTCTGATACTTTATTATTAGAGTATAGGAACGCTATGGACTTTAGAATGTAGATTTTCTATCCAGAGACTTTACTGTATTTGCTTATTGTTGCTAGTAGTGTTCTTGTAGAGTCTTTAGGGTTTTCTATACAGAGAATCATGTCATCTGAAAGTAGTGACAGTATGACTTCTTTGTTTCCTACATTGATGTTTTTTATATCTTTCTCTTCCTGATTGCACTCGTTAGACCTCCAATGTTATATTGATAACAGTGGCAATAGTGAACAGCCATGCCTTGTTCCTGATCTTAGAGGGAAAGTTTTCAGTTTTTCACCATTAAGTATAATGTTGGCTGAGAGTTTGTCATAGATGGCCTTAATTATGTTAAGTTACTTTCTTTCTATACCGATTTTGTTAAGTGTTTTTATCATAAATGAATGCTGTATCTTGTCAAAGGCTTTTTCTGTATCTATTGATACGATCATATGATTCTTATTTTTTAATTTGTTTATGTGATGTATCACATTAATTGATTTGCACCACCCCTGTGCCCCTGAGATGAAGCCCACTTGATCGTGGTTTATAATCTTTTTAATATGTTGCTGTATTCGGTTCACTAGTATCTTATTTAGGATTTTTGCATCTGTGCTCATGAGAGATATTGGTCTGTAGTTTACTTTTTTGGTGTTATCTTTATCGGGTTTTGGTATGAGTAATACTGGCCTCATAAAATGTGTGATCCAGTGGTTTTTAAGAGTGTGTTATTTATTTTTCATGTATTCGGGATTTTTTCCTGTACTTACTGTCATTTATTTCAAGTGTCATTCCATTGTGGGTAGGTGAGTAGTCCTGTATTTGTCTGTTAGGTCCATTTGGTTTATAGTGCTGTTCAAGTCCACTTCTTCTTTATCAATCTTCTGGCTGAGTGTTCTAGCCACTATTGAAATTGCAGTATTGAAATCTACTATAATTATGTTGCTGTCAAATTCTCCTTTCAAATTTATCAATATTTGTTTCATATGTTTAGGTGCTCTGATGTTAAGTGCATATATATCTA